GCTTTTGGTGTTATATCCAAAAAATCAAGGCCAAGTCCAATATCATGAAGCTTTTCCTATGTATTTTCTTCTAGGAGGTTTTAAAAATATATATCTTTTTGTTTAAATGATCTTACATTTAGGTTTTTAATCCATGTTGAGTTAATTTTTGCATTTGGTGTAAGATAAAAGTCCAACTGAATTCAGCTCACTTTTGATGGCAGGCTTCAGTTATCCCTTAAAGTTCCCAGAAGAGCCATCTCAGTCCTTCGGGTTCTGTCAAAGTCACTTACATTGTACTGGACAAACAGCTCTTGAGCACTTGCTGTGTGTCTGATGGTTTGGGAAGTGAGGGCAGGAGATACAAATATGAATAAGGTAGGGAACTCTCAGGTGATGTGAATGCTGTATATCTCAGTAGGAGCTTTGGTGATAGAGGTTATGCATTTGTCAAAACTCAGCGAATGTGCACTTACAAGATTTGCACATTATATTGCATGTAGAGTTCACATCAAAAGAAAAAAATAAAACAGATATTGAACTCTAGTTAATTATATGCACTCTGAAGTCTTCAGAGGGAAGGGCACTGATGTCTGGATTTACTTTAAAATGCATCCAGGAAAAAAGAGATACATTAATAGATGAATAGAGGGGTGATTTGGTGATAGGCAAGTATATTTAAAGTATTAATGAATTTGTTCCATATTTGAAATTTTTCATGATAAAATATGGAGGGAAAAATTTGGGAAGATAGGACTGAGAGGGAAACTGACCTTTACCTTACACAATGTAGTTAATGACCTCTTATGTCCTGTCCTAGTCTTTTTTTTTTCAGATTGGGGGACATGGGGGTAGAACTAGTTAGCACTGAGAGCATTTATTCTCCTTTGCAGCCTGTTTGTAAACTTCTGAGTCATTCCCAGAAATGCCTTCTATCATGAAGAATCAGAGGAATTAGAATGAGTGATGATTGCCAGCAATTTTTGAAGTCCGTCAGTGCCTCATTTTACACCATAACTTAGTATACATTTATACGGAACTGAAACAAACATTTCATGAAGCTATACTCTGATGCACTTTAATACTTCTATTTAGCTTACAAAGACAGGTCAATTTTCATCCATTAATGGGTTAAGAACCAGCAGTATGAAAAGTGCTGCTCTAACACATAAACTGTGGAGACTAAGAGATTGACATATACCATTTAATATTAACAATGAACACTGTCGTAAAAATCATCAGCCTTTTCAGATGTTCCTTAGTGCTTCAAAGCCCAATAGATCCGGATTTCATTGCCTGTGCCGCTGCAATTTCATAGTTGTGTGATCTTGGAAGAGATGTGTAACTTTTCAGTTCTAGTTTTGTCGTCTATAAAATGGAGTTATTAGGGGAAATACATACTTCATTGAGTTCTAGAAAAGGGTTAAATGAGGTGATGTCTGCAAAGTGCTTAGCACCATGCCCAACTGAAAGGCCTCAATAAGTAGGAAATAAATTTTTAGCTGTGGATTCATTAACTTCTATATGTTTGGCCTCAAAAGAAATCAGAATGGCCTTCAAAGGGTTGTGGGCTTCAATACCTTCTTCTGTTCCATTTTCCAATGTGTTTTTTTATAGAAGAAACCTTCAGAGCACCCGACTATTTGCTATACCTCTCAATACTGCTCAGTAAAACAGTACTCAGTTTTTCAGAAGTTGCCGGAGGTGGCATTGGCAAGAGTGCCATTTGGAAACATGGGGAATTTTGGCAGGCTTTGTGGTGTTTGTTGTTGGAGACTGCCTTGGCATAATCCTAGGTGAAAGAGGGGTGCCTGGGGTTTCTCACTGATTCATTCCTTTAGCGTGGAATTCTGGATAAACTGTGTCTGCCTTCGGGGGTGGGTAGGAAGAGCCCAGTGGGCCTCATTATAGACAAGTTTACCTCTCTGAAATTTCCTTGCTGAGAGATTATTTTGCGTCATTTGGATTTCCTCCTTTTTAATCTGAACAATTTGGCTGCTGGTGGAAGTACTTAGCTGAAAATGTTCTGGTGTTTTTGGCACAATTAAAATTTTTAATCTTCTTAATTTAATAGAATCTTAGGATTGTATTGCTGGGAGAGCCCTTAGAAGATGAGAGAAATAGCAGGCCTCCCGGCACCAGGTCTAGCTCTTGCTCATGTCCCGCTAGAGAGGAGACGTGGTATTTTAGCTGGGGAACTGGTAACCACAGCCTATCTGAGACAACTGTTACTATGACTGCTTTGTGCTCTTGCAGTCCTTTTTGAGTGTGCATCTTACTACTTACTTTGCCAGTCGATTACCTTTATTACCAATTTAGAAGTCTTGGTGGCTTAACACAACAAAGATTTATTCATGTCCAGTTAGAGGTGGGATGGAGAATGTCTGTCTTTCTTTGCACAGATACTCAGGAACTTGGGCTGAGAGGGACCCCACCATCTTGGAGCCATTTATGATACATGCCTTCCAGGTTGCCTGGCAGGGAAGAGAATTCACACCCACTCTTCGACGCCTCTGTCCAGAACTGTAGTCACTTTGCTCATAGCTCATTAGTCAGAACTGGTCACATGACCCTGCCGAACTAGAAGGGGCTGGAAATATGGAAGAATGTATGGAATATTTGATGAGCATTATCAGAGAGAAGGGCCCCATGATATTAAGTTTATTAAAACTGCATACTGAGGGGAAGGGTATATAGCTCAGTGGCAGAGTACACGCTTAACATGTACAAGGTCCTGGGTTCAATTCCCAGTACCTCCATAAAAAAAAAATACATACCTCCCCCACAAAAAAACAAAAATTGCATACTGAAAAAATACAGCTTCCTCTTCTCTACATCTACCAAGTTTCATTACCCTCTAAACCTCTAGGTTCGTAGAGGCCATCATGGCAGCAGCTTTTGCTTACAGCTTGGTGGGGACAGGGAATCTGCTGCCAAGTGCAGAGTAATGCGGTCTGTGAGCAGAGCGGCAGATAATACAGTAGAGAAATAGGGGTGGCTGTGGCTTCCTCTGCTGACCTCCCTCACCAGGGAGTAGGTTGAATTGCTTTCACTGTGGGCTTTATCTTCCTGGTTAGTTTGTGTATAGGCTGAAAAATAATCCCTCTCTCCCCCTGTAAGATATCAAGTCTTAATCCCTGGGAACCAGTGGATATTATGCATCAAAAGGTGCAGATGTGATTAAATTAAGGATCTTGAGAAGGGGGGATTCTCCAGGATCATCCCAGGGGCTCTAAGTGGTATCACATGTATCCTTACAAGATGGAGATTTGACACAGTGTCCACAGTGGCAGGGATAGGAGTGATTTGCTATTCCTTGGCTTGTAGTGCCATTCCTACAAGCCAGGGAATGCCAACAGCCTGCAGAAGCTGGAAGAGGCAGGGAATGGGATCTCCCCTAGAGCTTCTGAAGGGAGTGGGGCCCTCCTGACGCTTGATTTTGGCCCAGTGGTAATGAATGATTTGACACTTCTGAACTCTGGAACCGATGAAAAATAAATTTTTTCTGTCATCTTAAGCCACCAAGTTTGTGGTAATTTTTTACAGCAGCCACAAGAAATTAATACACTTAACTTCATACTTTCTTGGTGGTCAGTGGCAATTGCCCTTGTAACCAGTGCCCTGAGGGATTGGTGACTGGAGTGAGTCCTGGGGAACTGAGTGGCTGGAGCATAGGGTAAGAGCGAGAATTTTCTTTCCATACTCTTTTTTTTTACCTTTTTAATTTGAACCATGTGAATGTACTACCTATTCAAAAAATAAATTAATTAATCCTTATGTCTCTGGGAGCCTCTGTAGTAGGGGAACATGGTTAATTTTATTTATTCATTTTCCTGAGTAACATCCAGGGCAATTTGTGTTCTGTGTTTTGGGTAACTTTTCAAAATGTTGCTCCATAGGCCTTACCATTCCACCTGCTCCGTTTTCTTCTCTCTCTGTTGTGCTTCTGATGTTTGGGTCTAGGTCAGTGGTAAGACAGAATTATGTGGTGGAAAATGAATGGTAGTGTAATAATTGTAGTTTTTAATTTGAGTTTAAAAATGTAACTTAGTTAAAAATTACCTCAGGGTTACCTCTCACCCTGGATCAGGGCTTCCTAACCAGTGTGCTGAGATTTAATTCCTCAGCCTTAGGGAGTGCGGGATAAGGCTGGTGGCGTCTACTTCAGGAATACCACCCCTTGATACCAGTATGCTATGCAAATAATATTATTTTCAATGTGTGCAGTGATGTGGAAAGGTTGGTGAACACTGCTCTAGGTAAAATGTGGCCTTATAGTTTTTAAATGTTGCATAAAAATAGCTATGGAAACAAACAAACTTGCTGGATCTTTGGGGAAATTCTAATGATTACTTCGCTTCAGTGCAGGAGTCTGCAGCCTTTTTTCCATGTGATGCTTGTGGTGAGGATGGTCATGACCTGGCGCTCTCCTGATGAGGGCACTGGCATGCCTGCAAAGCCCAAAAGGCGGGCTCATGTTCAGTGTCTCCCACACATGCCTGTAGGAGAAAAAAGGCAGAATAACATGTTAGGAAATGATCTTGAGTTCACTCTTATTTACCAGGAAATCATAGAAAACTTGGGCATGTCTACTGTCTGTAGGAACCAAATCCTTCTGACCCATGTAATAACTTAGATCACAGTAGAGAACCACTGTCCTCACAGAATAATATTTCCTATTGTGGCAAGCTGAGTGTAAGTTAATTTCAAGCCACCAAATAAGAGATAGATTGGTTGTTTTTTTTTAAAGTACTAGTGACAAGCAAACAAATTTTTTTTGCCAATGGTATTATATGCTGTATGTAAATAAGAACTTTATCAAGTTCAGTTTTCATGTGTTGAAATATTTGTTGTTCTGTTGCATCCCAGTGGATCTGATGATGTTGGTTATGCTGTCTGTTCTTTGTTTTCTGGAAAAATAACTGAATTAGTATGTCAGTGTAGTACTATCTGAAGAAATCTAAGAGCTATTAAAATGCTTAAAAATAAGATGATCTATTCTTCTTTTGTTCTCTTGACAGGATAATTGAAGCCATCTGCATAGGTTGGTTCACTGCAGAGTGCATCGTGAGGTTCATCGTCTCCAAAAACAAGTGTGAGTTTGTCAAGAGACCCCTGAACATCATAGATTTACTGGCAATCACGCCGTATTACATCTCCGTGTTAATGACGGTATTTACGGGCGAGAACTCTCAACTCCAGAGGGCTGGAGTCACCTTGAGGGTACTTAGAATGATGAGGATTTTTTGGGTGATTAAGCTTGCCCGTCACTTCATTGGTCTTCAGACACTTGGTTTGACTCTCAAACGATGTTACCGAGAGATGGTTATGTTACTTGTCTTCATTTGTGTTGCCATGGCAATCTTTAGTGCACTTTCTCAGCTTCTTGAACATGGGTTGGACCTGGAAACATCCAACAAGGACTTCGCCAGCATCCCTGCTGCCTGCTGGTGGGTGATTATCTCTATGACTACAGTTGGCTATGGAGATATGTATCCTATCACAGTGCCTGGAAGAATTCTTGGAGGAGTTTGTGTTGTCAGTGGAATTGTTTTATTGGCTCTACCTATCACTTTTATCTACCATAGCTTTGTGCAGTGTTATCATGAGCTCAAGTTTAGATCAGCCAGATATAGTAGGAGCCTCTCTGCTGAGTTCCTAAATTAATCCATTACAAATCAATTCTTGCATACACTTCTTCTGATAGAGTTGACGCTACTTCATATTCATGCGTTTCTTGCTGGGTGAACACTGCAGTGGTACCGACATCGTCGTGGTAGAGTGAAAATTGTCCTTCCCAGCTGAAGGGATAACACAATGTACTTACTATGGAGTAAATAGAATTGCAACCGCAAAGGAGAAGTGATGACTCCTAGAGTAGATTTTACGATCTTATTTTGTCTAGACTCGTCTCCTCCTTGCCTCGAACAATTACACGTTTGTGTTTGTTTTGAAGTGTATGATTTGAACATTTTAAAACTGAAAGCTACTATTTTCCAAGTGTTTTTCCATCTTGTGAATGCAGAAGAAGCTTGGAAGTTATAGTGTTATTTTTTTTGCTGGAGAGTAACATTTTCATTTCTAAATGTTTTATAATCTCTCATATCAATGTCAGTAGTATCCTGGAAACATATGTCAGATGCAGGAACTGTTTAACAAATACTTTAAAAATTTGGCCAAATTTTAAACTGTATAATGGAGCTAGCAGACACAAGCAAGAACAGTATTTGAAAAATTTCTCCAGCATATTTCTCAATTATCTGGTTTACTTTTGTGCCTATTATTCACCTTATCATACAGCTTCATGGATACTTGAGTACATTCTTTCTTTTCCATTTTGGATTTCTTTTACTTCTGTCCTGAAATGACTCAGAAGATTATTGTGTTGTTGAGCATTTCATTGGAGTTCATTTTATTTGAATTCATTGCTGTTACTATGTGATAATTGTTCTGTCAGATGTCCAAACAAGATTTCCAACATTAAAATGATAATACAAATAGCTTGATATTACAACCCATATTTATCTTCTTCTGCTCTTAATTTTTTCTTCCAAACACCATGGGTTTAATAAGACTTACTAGATGAAAGGATCTTTATGTAGCTGTTTTATACCAAAGTCTTACTTGGGTGTTGTCACTGGATTGTCCTAAAAAAAGACAGTATTTCTTTACTCTTCGTTGCTGTGTAGCCAAGCCAATTTTAAGCCAGCTAAAAGCAACAAATATATAATTATTTTATCCGATCTTTACCACTGTCAGTTATAGCTATGCCAAAACTTCTTGTAACAATATTGAGCAGTATGCCACACTAATCTGGCTAAGTTATTAGGACTAGATAATGTAAAACTGATGATTGTTTAGTGCTCAATTTTAGCAATCTGAATTAGGATTTTGCTTTGTTAACCAGTTGCCATAAAGTCATCAGTGTATAAACACAAAAAATTAAAGTCATAGATTTGTGAGTAATGTCATATATTGTAATTTGGCAGGGGTGGAGGGGTGAAGAGAGCAGATGGAAAGGAGACCAAGCTGTATTTATTTGTCGAAGGAAGGGTTACCAGAAGTGTTCATTAAAGGAATATTAGCCATCATCTAGTTCAGACCTCAGCTAGTACAGGTAGAAGACCAGGGCAAGAGAGGATATGGTTGAGAAGGAATTGGGGCTGAGACCTGGATCCCTTGGAACCTAGCCCAGCAGTTTGTTCTTAACACACCTCTGGGTTTTGAGAAAAGCCTGAGAAGCCACACTCCTTGGCTGTTGCCCTTGCTGAGGTAATAATAGCAAAATCGTTCCTTTTCTCTGATTTCCTTTCCTGAGTTTGGTGATATTTTGGCCGTTAAGACTCTCACCCCATCTAGCCTAATGCATCTTGCATACTGGTATGTTACTTATTACATACTCAAACTGTGTTATTTATTGTATATTTATTGTATTTTAATATATTTGAAATAAATAGCATGGATTTATTTTTTCTTACCTATTTTGATTAAGGCTTTGTGATTTATGCAAATAATAGGCAGGTGATAGCACCCCCATATTACTAATAAAAATAAGACAACCATCAATTTTGCTGGCACTAAGAACTCTTCATGAGAATGTCTTGTCTCCCCAAGTAAATTATAACTCCTCCGAGGGCTGGGACCCTCTCTCTCATGCACACCTTCATATCCCCACAGCATGTGTGATAGACTTGGGTGCAAACTGTTGACTGATCTGGGAAAAGGAACTGCTGTGCAAAGAGACAAAGAGAAGTGTCTACCTGTATGTATAGGCATAGAGCCACACGTGTGAATACACAAGACGACCTTGAGGCTGCCCTTAAGTAACTAGTAAGACGTCTCTTGTTGGTGATGCCAGGCTTTTCATAGGGCCACGTCTCATAAAGGAGCAAGTTGGGTCAATGCTCATGGCGGTTCAGCCACCCATGTACTAAGGATGATGATGAGACCTGATAGAACAGTTCATGAGTGAAAAAATATATATCATGGATGTTAGAGCTTTTTTTAGGAACAAAGGCATTTTCTTTTAACTTTCCTTGAATGTTACTGCCTTAAAAAATAATGATTGAGTGGGACTTCTTTCTTAGTTGCACTTTTAGAGATTTCTCATAAGTCAGTCTTTCGGGCAGCAATGCTTTCATTAGGACCTATGTTACTGGTACCAGTAAGTCAGATATTATCTTAAATTAGGATACACAATGAGGAAAGCCCAAATGCTTGTTCTGATTTTACTGCACCTGAGCTTATGTGACTTATCTTCTATATAATTTGTTTTGTATCCTCTACACTGGAATTTTTCAGGATTAAATATCCAAGATTAGGGAGCATATCTGAAAGTGAACATACTCTAACAATTCAAGGCCTTCTCTATCTTTTTTCTTTAATGATTCTTTTGTTATTGCTGGTTGCAGCATCTGCATTTGCTTTGCTCTTGGGTTTTGTGGTTTCTCGTAAGCACACATTTCTGAGTTCTTACTTTCTTAAAAATGTAGAAATATCTTTTTTCATGGTGACTGTCAGTACATCAAAGTAATGCTTCCTGTTTTTAAACTTGTGTCCAGATGTCTTAGGTATCCACTTAAATCTAAGAGGAGGAGAGAGAGGATTAGGTTGGATGTTGGTATTGAAAGAATTTTCTCTGTTGGCTTGATATTTTCTAGAAGCAGCTTATTTTTCCCCTTTACTATAGAAATGAAAAATAGAAGAACCTGAAAACACCTAGCTCTGTTTTACTCTTAAGCTTGTATGACCCCAAACAACGCATAGCTTAACAAAATACTTCCAGAGTCCTTTGACCTTACATAAATGTACATTCACTTATGGTATGCAATATACATTCCAATCAAGTATGGTATAAATATTCATAGGGTAATCATAAATTACAACTGAAAGGTCCTCAAGACCTTCTGTCTACCTTGTCCCTTCCTATGTCTTTTATCCTGTCCAAACGTGGATTGTGATTTAGCCATTGTCACACATAGGGAGACCAACTTGTCCTGGTTTGCCTGGGACTTTCTTGGCTTTGGCACTAAACACACCTCCATCCTGGGAAATCCCTTAGTCTCAGGTGAACTGGGATAGTTGGTCACGCTAGTGACCAACCAAAAACCTGGTTTTCAGGCTTTTGATTCAGTACTCATTGGACATACTTTTTTTTTTTGGTAACATCAGAAGGCAAGGACTTCTCTTAAAAACATTTTCTTTGGGGCGTTGGGGTCCCTTTTTATAGGACAAATAAAAATTGGATATTGCTTTTAGATGCTCCAGATGTCAGGAAGGAGGACTTGCGACCAGTGTATAGGGACTCAAATTTTCAAGAGAGTTTTTAAATTGTAGAACTTCATGGTTGTACAGCAATTCACATATACACAAATAAGTGCAGTTATTTCATAGTTTACCATTGCCAGGTTGAGAAATATCATAGCTGAAGAGGAAGAAACATGGGGTGATGCTTTAATGGAATGTTCTGGAAAAGTTCCGTTTTGGTCAGGGAAGGTGGCATCACACTTCTCTGTTTGTTCAGCATGTGTTCATATGGTGTTTTGCTTCCTGCCTTTCCAGACCCATCTGTCCTCAGAGGACTGGGCGTATCAGTTCTGCCCCTGAAAGTAAACTAATAACTTGCTGCCCCGTGTTGTGGAGCCTTCCACAGTCTTGTGAAATGTCATCAGAAAGCATGATTGTATTGTCCCATTCTGTCATTAACTTTTTTTTCTTTTAACAATGCCCCACTTATGCCTAAACTTTCAGATTTTTCTAGTTCTCCCAGACATTCCCAATAAGCACTTCAACTTTTGACTATAGGCGTAGCTCAATTGTCAGTTTATTATTTCTTAGTGTATTGAACTGGATAATCTGCATTTGTGCTGTAATTTAAACATATTAATTTTACATAGCTTTGGTGAGAGTGCTTTTGATTTATATTTAAAAATATCAACACTAGACCAAATATAGAGTGAAAGCATAAGTCACGCTTAGTGGACGAAAGCTAGAGGGAAGATACATTATTTGGAGTTCACCTACCAGGACTGAGTAATAATACTATGTCATTTATGTCCTAAACACTACTCTTACTTTATTTATGCAACACTGTATTAAAACTAAAACTAAAATTTCCTATAATTTTGTATTGGGTAGGATTTTTTCCCCCCAGCCTGCAATTATTTTGAAATAATTCTGTAATTCTGCCCATGACAGAGTTGAGGCTATTTGTTGTATGCATTGTTATAAAGTGTCTTTTTTTTTTTACATTAAAGAAGTATAAGTAATGGCAGGTGTTTTTGCTGTAGTAAAATAGTGATTTGTTCAACTTAACATATTGCTTTTTAACTGTATTTTACAAGCTTGATCTTGCAGCTCTAGTGGAATTCCAAGCTTTCCTTTTCTATACTTCAGAGGGCAGGAGAATTTTACTTCTTTTGTGGAGAGCAGTACTTGAGTTATAAATCCTCGACTCTGATGTAAGAGAAGTGTGTGTGTGGCAGGGGAGCATAGCTATGCATATTTTTTTCTCATTTTTTAAAGCCATAGCTGCTCTTTCATATGAAACATTTGGAAGTAAAATGCAAAATCATGAAGTCAGTGTAAGGCTTAGCTTTCAGGTCCATGTGAAAGGTTGTTTATTTTTGTTCATTGGACAGAAGTGTAAAGTTTAGATTTTTCTGCATTGAGATAAACTGCCTAACTTCTTATCTGTATTGTTATTCATTCAGCAATCTTTATCTTTGGACAGGTTTTTTTTTGAATAAGTAATACGAATTATATAAGTAGTATAATTTTAAAATTAGAATAATGGTTATGGTCCCCTTGAAAGCTTTGGCTTAACGTAAGGGAGATCACCTTTAATTAGCTCTTCCAGTTAACTCAGTTTAAAAAGGTCAGAAAGAAATTTAGTATGTGTATGTTTGGTTTTCTTAAATACAGTTTTTATTTATGCATTTTTCTTTGCTGCAGTGCAAGACAATATAGGGAGACTGTAGCATGCAAGAAATTATTAGGTGCATCCACTTTTTATAATAAATCGGTTTCCAAACATTTGTATAAAAAAAAGTTTTATAAACTTTATCTCATTTCATATACACAATAGTGGATGTGTACAGGAATTTACTGAGGGAATCCTTTGAACCTGTGGGTCATCCTTCTGCTGCGTTATTATCCCTTGAGCTATGTTTTTTGTTTTTTATTTTTTCTTCATCATTCTATTTATTACTTGTATGAATATTAACATCTCATGGCATCCATCTAATTCAATCAAAACCAACAAAGGAAAAAAGATTAACCATGTTTCAAATTAACATTCTTACAGATCCCCCTGTAACTTAAAATAGAAGTATGTTCATCTGCATTAAATCATTTGATAAATTTGAAAAATGTCATTTAAAAAAAATCACCGTTAGTACTTAAATATATTTGTTAATCATTTGATGGCATCAGTGTCCAAGTTCAATAAAAGTTGCTTTATTAGGTACTTTTCAAAAATGGACATCTGGATGATTCTCTATAGTTGGAGATAGA